AAGATGTATCCCGAGGCAAGGGAATTGACGTATGTTGAGGCGCCGAAAAAATTTGTTTGGAACAAAAAAGAGAGAGTCTGGACTCCTCGAATAAGGCCAGGTTGTATAGGTCGTTTGAGCTATGTTCCTCCCAATGCTGGTGATAATTATTATTTGAGGTGTTTGGTCAATGTTGTTCGTGGAGCTACTTGCCACGAGGATTATATGAAGGTAGGCGATGTTCAGTACCTGTCCTATCGCGATGCTTGCTATGCACGAGGTTTGTTGGGTGACGATCGAGAGTACATTGATGGAATTACCGAAGCAAGTCAGTGGGCATCTGCTGAATCTCTTAGGCGCATGTTCGCGTCTTTATTGGTTTCTGGATCCTTAGGCAAACCCGATGAAGTTTGGGACCGGTGTTGGCAATTTCTATCTGACGACATCCTATACAAGCAACGACGTCTCTTCGATAATGATGGTATGGGATTTATTAGGTTCTATATTATGCATTTATCAAGTATTATAACTAATATTATTTTATAAAATTATTAAAGTTTTGTATTCCATTAAAAATCGAAATGTCATAGGTCATTTATCATGCTTTTCAGGTTTGAAGCTGAGTGATGCAGATACAAAAAATTTAGCTCTCGCAGAGATTGAGACATTATTGAGACATCGTGGCACCAGTCTTCGCGACTATTCTACTATGCCTTTTCCAGATATGGATAGTATTAATTCAAGTGCTAACCGTCTGGTTTTTGATGAACTTAACTATGACCGTAAGGCTCTAGCTATTGAGCATGATGCACTTCTGACACATATGACCGATGAACAGAAGGGGGTTTATTCCAAAATAATGACATCTGTTGATTCCGGTAGGGGCGGCGTGTTTTTTGTTTATAGTTATGGTGGAACTGGTAAAACATACTTGTGGAGGACTTTAGCTGCTGGGCTAAGATCGCACGGCCGAATTGTTCTTTGTGTTGCATCCAGTGGAATAGCATCTCTCCTGTTGCCGGGCGGTCGAACTGCACATTCTCGATTTGGCATTCCTCTTTCTGTGCATGAAAATTCATCGTGTGATATCAATCAGGCTAGCCCTCTTGCAGAGTTGATTATTCGCTCTTCATTGATCATATGGGATGAGGCCCCTATGATGCACAAGCATTGTTTTGAAGCTGTTCAAGCTTCTTTTAAGGCAATAATGGGAGCACTCGACCCGACAAATCATCATAAACCGTTCGGAGGTAAGACTGTTGTGTTTGGTGGAGACTTTCGACAAATCCTTCCGGTAGTTCCAAAGGGGAATCGCCAGGAGATTGTTAATGCTGCTATTAATTCTTCTACCATTTGGGGAGACTGTACTGTGCTTAGACTTACAAAGAACATGCGTCTTCAGAGCATTGGCGATTCGAATGAACGTGACGAGCTAGCCGCTTTTGCTGATTGGATAGCGAGCATCGGAGATGGCACATTAGGGGGTACAAATGATGGATGTGCTCCGATAGACATACCAGATGATCTATTACTAGAACCGTCCGATGATCCAATTGCAAAAATTGTTGAAAGCACGTATCCGATGTTCAAGAATGCAACCGATGATCCAAGTTACTTGAAAGATAGGGCTATACTCGCGCCAACACTCGAGATCGTAGAATCTATAAATGCATACATGTCGTCGTTGAATTTGACTGAAGGACGCACGTATTTAAGCTCTGACAGTACGTGTAAATCCGATTCCAATACCGACTTTCTGGCACAACTCCATACTCCCGAGTTCTTGAATACTATCAAGTGTTCTGGAACACCGAATCATGAGCTGAATTTGAAGGTAGGAACTCCAGTGATGTTGTTGCGGAACATGGATCACTCAATGGGACTCTGCAATGGTACACGATTAGTTGTGACCAAACTCTCCAATCATGTTCTCGAGTGTAAAATTCTTACTGGCGATCATGCAGGTGATAAAGTTTTGATACCTCGGATGACCATAACTCCTTCTGATGTTAGAGTGCCATTCAAATTCCAAAGAAGGCAGTTCCCCATTATGGTTTCTTACGCAATGACTATAAACAAGAGTCAAGGTCAATCCTTATCGCATGTTGGCTTATTCTTGAAGAAGCCAGTTTTTAGTCATGGCCAGTTATATGTCGCTGTCTCTCGTGTTACTAACAGAAAGGGTCTAAAAATTTTAATCTGTGGAGAAGAAGGTTTGAAAGAAAATCAAACCAAGAATGTCGTGTATAGAGAAGTGTTTAATAATATATGATTTTTTTATACTTTGTATTTCTCTTTTCTTTTTTCCTATTATAATTATAATCAAATTATTAATTATTAAGGAAAAATTTTTAAAATTAAGTTTAGAAAAAAAAAGTTTGAGGAAATAACTCACCGTGCAGCGCACGGGTACTACACTAGTTTATATGAAACGGTGTCCGAAAATTACGAAATTCGGAACACACCATCCTCAACACATACATGATCTTTATGGTCAAAATATCACAACCAATTACAACCTACAACCCATCCAACTAAAAACGACATTAACGGTCCAAAATTACCAAAAATCGGTTCGTCTATCAAGCAAACTCCGAAAATTTCCCGACCCGCATCCTACGCCTTGAGACAATTCAACGAAATTTATAAAATTTAAATTACCATATTATCACTTTCCGATAATAAAATTGAAAAATACCACTTAAAGCTCCAAAAATCTCAATAATTCAAAAATCGCTCAAATCACCAAATTATCATTTTTATAATACCTAATTAAATATATTTAAGCCATTGGAGTCAAGTTCAAGCCATTTTACCTCAAATCGACTCGAATCGAAAAGGCAGAAGAAGGAGGCTAGTGAAATGGACCGGTAAAGTGAAATCGGGTCGGACCTGAGGTGGTTTGGTGCCGGCCGAGTCGACTCGGTTTTGGCTCATCTCGGGCTGGGCGCGTGGAACCGAGTGGACTCGGTCATGGATGTGGAACCGAGTGAACTCGTACAGGTTCGAACGGTTGTGCGGTTCTTACGAAAGGCATTTCCCATTGTTTTCCAATTAAAACGAAATCTGAAAGTCCAAGAACATAGACGGTAGATCTTTCTCAGATTCATTGCACACGTTGAAAAGNAAACAAACAAACAAAATACCAAAATACCAAAATCGTGTGTGGAGAACTCTTCCGATCTTGATTAGTGCTTGCTTCCAACCAGAGCTCTCTGACCGGGCATGAGTGGAGAGTCCTTCTAATGGTGTAGAAATAAAGGAGCTCGGCCATGATTGACATAGTTAGCAAAAGAAAGGATAAAGACGATTTAAGAAAGAGACGACGGCAGAAATGGGATGACAAAATTGTGCCCTAATTGATTCCCTTTTGTACATTATATATGGGCCTTTCTTGAACTTACGTTTGGGCTTGATTTTTTAACCCTTATCCTTATCCTTATCCTTATCCTTATCCTTATATATATAATAGCTCAATCACAAAATGTGGCATAAGCATGTTTTATAATTTATACACCTGGGCCTCTTTTGATGGTTTAGAGAATTGTTCATGTTAAATTATTGAATAATTAATAGTTAATAAAATTATGTGAAACGAACAACAAATTATATTTCTAAATATTTATATATTATTATATCAATTAGATTATATATTTATATTAATCAATAAAATATTTTATATACAAACTTTATTACTTAAAATACTGTATAATATTTAAAATTATTAATAAATTAAAGATCGTTTCAACCACTGGTTTGACCAATGAACCATTGAATCAGTAGCTTGACCGGTTCGATGACCGGTCCGATTTTCAGAACATTAGTATTTAGAGTGGGTAGAGAGCTAGGGTTTTCTATTGCGATGTTGGGCCTCAAAATCGGGCCTTAGTCTTGAGGTTAAAAGTCCTAAAATCGAGCTCGGATTTATTTGTTAGTCGGGCTCAATTAAAATTGAACGGGACTTGACTAAATACTAGACGTTCGGTCAAATTCACTAAAATAATTGGGTCATATTTTTAAAATCGAACATTGGCTCAATTTATTAAATGGACTAAATTTAAATCGAACATGGGCTCGATTTATTAAAATGGATCGGAATAAATAAATGGGCCGATTAGAATAATAAAATGGGCCAGCTAAAATAATTGGACTCCTTCGAAAATGATTAGGCTCAAACTGATTAAGTATTCGGCTTCGGCCCAATTTAATAAAATTCTTGATTATTTCAAAGCTCGGTTTTACATAAAAATAAAATTGATACTTGGGCTAAATAAATTCGACTTTTAAAAATTAAAATCGAATAAATTCTCCATGGCTTAAGTTTAATACTAATTATTCGATTTAATGCAAATAAAAATAATGAAATGCATCAAAAACAGGAAACTGACTATTTATGGAAATAAAGTCGAGTTCCATAAATAGTAAATAATATTCGGGGCGTTACAAAAGTTGTCATCAACTTTCTTACCGAAGTATCATAGGTAAAAGGAGAACGGATAATAAGAAGAAATATATCAATTACGATCAGTGAATATTGAGCCCTAAGAGAACCAACTCTTACGTTGCCTGAAAACCACCCTCTATGAAGCAGAAAGGACAATAAATAACATTATCATGTCAAACAACTTTTAAATAACACACGGCCTCCTCCCAAACATGTCCATGCCATATGCTATAGTTTCCATTTAGTGTGTGCCTCACACACAACCACACGCACACACACACATAGAGGTCAATGTCCTTGTTCCCCGTCACTAACTTCCAACGGAAGAGGATAAATGTCTTTAACGTTACACAGACAATTTGCCTACACATGATGTGCAGGACATGAGTACATTCTTTTTCATCCTCACATAGCAGTATAGGGGCAGCAAACAAATGGTCAATTGTGATAATGAAGTAGAGATAAAGAAAAAAACTAGAAATAGATTTCTAAAAAATGCACATCATACTGCAAAGTTCGACATATACCATCGTATAACTTAATACACTAGAATGACATACAAGTTGAACCGTAAAAGTTACATCACATTGCACAGAACTCCATTTCTTATCTGCATCACGATACCACGAGTACACGAAAGAATAAAGCTTGTGAGTTATGAACATCACTTGAAAGAAAAAAAGTAAGGTCTTACAAGGANAAAAGTAAGGTCTTATAAAGAATTAACATTTCTTCCTTATCATATAACATAAGATACCATTTCTCGCACATTCAAAGCCATGTAAATTCGTGGACACTAACCGTGAGGCAGTCTTTCGGTCTAACAACAGTAGGCACAATCGCTGATGAGGACTTCGATTCTGCCGCCTCTTCACCCACCTCGATGTACTTAGTCTTCGACCAGGTTGAGTCGACTGGGCCATTCCCATCGGAGGAGTCGGAGCAAAGGAACCTCCTCAAATAAAATAGACTTCTTCTCTTCTGCCATCGAAAAACCCGCAGCAATGGGGACGCGGGCACTCTGGCAGGCGCGTGCCCGCGGAGGTGGGCCCCGATGTAGACGTGCGAGCTGCACCTGGCGGTGAGTGCCTTCAACATGGGGGAGAAATTATACAGAGAAGAGAAGGAATATTGGTGAAATTAGGGCTTCTGATTGACGTGGCACCGATTAAGATTGCGTGACACTCAACACTTTAATGTCAGTGCGACGTCATCGTACTCATCAGATTCCACGTCACATCCCCCAACACCCTTAAGTCTTGCTTTTTACTCCATTTTCGTAGCCCAAAATTCTCGAAAAAGAAAAAAAATCAGCGACGTGCGAATGCAGCGATAAATGGTTACAATAAAATGTTGAAACTTACTATGGTTGCAATAACACCTACCAAGTAAATTCTTCATAAAAAATCATAAAATTTGAATTTCATCATATTCGAACGTTCCAACCCTAAGACCCAAAGTTTCTGGCGATTTTCTCTCGCCTCCGCTCGTCCTCGGCTGTCTACGCTTGCCTCTGCCCAGGTCTGGCCAATTTCGTGTCTCCATTTTATGTAATTGCTAATTGTTTGTAATTTTTAGTATTTTCAAGTTCAAACATTTAACTTGTAATTGTTTTTTTTCCTTTTTTTCTTAGCGAATTTGATGAAAAATGGACAACACCTATGCTTTCTCACTTGAAACTGAAGAGCCCAAATTGGAGCTCCAGTAGCTGATCTTTTTTTCACCTCCAAAATCAACACCTATGGACAGCGAAAATGAGGAATTATGGGTTGATTGTTGCAAAATTGGGGAAAAAAAAGAGTCTTAAGGGTGCTGGGGGATGTGACATGGAATCTAATGTGTATGTTGACGTGGCATTGACATTAAAATGTTAAGTGCCATGCAATCTTAATCGGTGCCACGTCAGTTTTTTCGATCGGACATATCACTGAGCTTTGTCCGGAAATTGATTTTGAGACAAATTTCTATATTTAATAAATGTTTGCTATTTTGTTGCAAAGTTGAAAAAGTTGAGTTTATTTTCAATTAAACAAAAGGTTGAGATTTTATAGGCAATTAACTTTTTTTTTTTTCAAAGACGACTATATTTTAAAACAAGATAATTACATATTAGATAACATTTAATAGCGCTAAATCAAACAATTATAAAAGTTGACTCTATATATCAATTAATCTATAAAGAGGCAATGATATTTATTTGAAAAAGTACTAAAAATCAATACAAAATATTTGGTTTCCCGCCTAAATATTCAAATTTACTAAATTGGCTAATTTTTTTGCCAAAATTGAAAAAATCCCGCCTAAATTTGATTAATGTACATAATCATTTTGGTCAAATATTGCGGCTATTACCTTTATTAGTTGCATGATTTAAATTTAGTATATAATATATTGACAAAACTTGGGACTATTATCTTTATTAGTTTCATGGTTTAAATTTTCTATATAATATATTCAACAAAAATAAAAATATTTTTATTTAAAATTAAAAATAAAAAATATAATTATTCATAACTTATGGGTCAATATTAACATGGACGTAAACGAAATAGTCAATTATTTATAGTTTAATAAATTACTCAACTACTTAATTTTTTTATTTGAATAGTTTATACAAAAATAAATTTATTTTAACTAATGAAACAATATAAATTTTAGATTTATATTTATTATTCACATAGGTTGTTAAATATATGATAAAATTTTACCAAAATAACTACTTTATGAAATTACATTACAGTGAAATTGAATTTCTGAATAAAAATTTTGAAATGACACTAATTGGAAACGAATATAATGTAATTTATTATCAGTTATATGCATCGAACGGGTTGTGTACTAATTTTAAAATAGTTTTATGTAATTTTACACAATTTAAACTTTATATAATATTTTCAATAAATTAATATAGGTAAATTGTATTAAATAATGATTCTATATTTTTATTTATAATATTATTTAATAACAATTTTTTATTTATAAATATTAATGAATATCTCTTACCCATCTATCTCAACATTTATTGACACATGACACAACCAACAACTGCTTTCAAATTATTGACAAAATTCAACTTCATTGATGTCAATTAAACATTGTTCTCGGGGAATAATAATCCTTTACCTATCAATAATGACCTTATATGTGAGGCAAAAAGCGCCTTAATTTTTTTTTTCTTTTTTTTTTGATACATAGGGTTCCAGCCCCACTATACAGAGTTGCAGTCAATCCCTAGCCCTAAACCCCGGCCCCACAGTGATTTCGGGAGTTAAATCTAAGACTTGCGACAGTGGCTTTCAGTTAGTCCGAAGCTGTACACACTTGGGCGACCAGCGGGCCGACCACTTCAGGTATCTGCATTTTTGCTCCTCCCAGGTTTCGGTCCCGCCACCCGGTGCTTGCAAGCGAGCTTGCGTCCCCCCATCCCACCAACTGCGCTACGCCCCGGGGGCCAAAAGCACCTTAATTGTCTTATCATAAACGACTCTCTAAACTGTGAACTGTGAATTTCTGGAACTTAAGTCAAGTTAAACATTTTTTTTAACATTATTGTTTTTTCATTATATATTCATATAGATTATAAATTTGTGCTTTCAGAAAATGGTGCGACAGGAACAAGGGCAGATAATTTTGGCCACTGCCTAATGTAAAAAATTTGACAAGTGTATCTGATCTAAACAAGTCAAACCAAAAGAATAATTAACATTAGCTAATGTTGAATTATTAAGCCTCGTCAAGGAGATGTTTAAGTAGATTAGATTAGTTTAATGATGGGGAATTAAAGACACTCTGTCTATTTTCAAATTTTTATTACTCTTCTGGGAGTCAAATACTGTCATTTTGAGAATCCAAGAAGTGGGAATAGAATTAAAATAGATTATACAAATTAAAAGTTTTGACACCATAAATCAAATTATAATTTACTTAATTAGCTCATAAGTTTTTTTTTTCTTTCATTTCTATATATTAAGTTTGGCTTAGTAGAGTGAATCATCTTTAAGAGAAAGAATAGACTCACATCTAGCTATAAAAGAAAACTGCATTGCATAATGACTACCAAGATAACTAAATGTTTCACAGATAACTGGTTTGAAAAATATATTAGGAGCATATATGGAAGAAATTAACCTGAGCTACATGAACTCCTTACAATTGGATCTACAGAAAATTGCACAGACAAAGCCTTTTGGATGATTGGTTGGAACTTACATTCCCACATTTGCACTAAGACTGTCTAAGAGCAAATTTCTTAAGCAGCAAAACAATCACATTCATAGAAATCAGTTCCAAACCTTGTGCAGATCCATAAAAGTACAAAACTTAATGAGAGTTTTCTCATTAAGTTGGACTAAGACCATAGGACAAAAACCCGAATAACAATAAAAATAATATGGCGAGTACTATAACCAAAAGGATAAATAACAAGATGCTTGACAAGAAAATAGAGAGAGCTTTATTACATTATTGTATTCTGAGCTGTTCATGAACATCTTAAAGGCATCAGTTTCCATACAAATAAAATTGTTAATCAACAAACGTGCTGAATGAGACATGTAACTCTCACATGACCGAAATAGTATTACTGCGGCATGAGTATATTCCTTATTGCTTTGTAGTCAAGTTTGCGAGAGAAACCATTGAATCTTCTGCTGGCCCGCCTATTTGTGGTTATGTTGACAGAACTATTTATGTTGTTATGTAAATTGAAACTTAATTTTTTTTACAAATCGAATCATTTTTGTTATGCTCAGTAGCATTTCCTGGCATGTGGTTCTAAATAGTTTTGGTGTTAACACACACTGTAAAGGAGCCAAAACCAATGACAAAAGAAAAACACGAAACAAGACAGAAATAAGAGCCAACACTAAGCATATTAACATCAAGCACCACAAAAATCATAGAATACAAAACTCAAATATGGCAGGAACACAAATACACAAAAAGAAAAATTGACAGTAAAGTCCAAAGTCCAATTTCTTCAGCAACTAAATAGCCAATGCAACCACCTAATGTATAACAAGAGCTCTCAAACCAAAGAATGAAAAAAAAAAATTGTCTATGTATTTCAAAATGAACCAAAAGGTAGTGAAACAATATAAAACAAAAAAAGTAAGACAATAAAAAAGTTAAGCATCTAAATTTGGAGACCATATAACAGTGAAGAAGTTAGAAGGATAAATAATGAGCCCCCCCTTTTGGTAACATGATATTTTCCTTCTTTCAGAAATGTTACATTTTCAACCAATTTCTTTCATATCACCTCTCTATTTTCATTTCCATGTTAGATTCAAACTCACTTGATGTGTACCAGAAGTTGGGATCGACAAGATACAAGGGTTTGACAAAGAAAAAATCGGGGATATTTTCTGCCTCTAGGCATAACTCTATATGAAATCACCTTTGATCCACTAATATGGTAAACATAAATTGTAGATGGAGTTTAGATGTTCAACATCTCTAGCTAGATGAACTGGAACAAAAAAAAAATAATAATAATAAAATAAAAGAAAAAAAAACTTACACGCATCCAAATTGCAAGTGTTGGTCTGCTCATAAGATAAAGAAGGTGCCTCAAAGGATTGTGAATTGGATGGCTCTGTAGGGGTCTATCTGCCAGCTTCCTGAATTGATTGAACATGACAAGAAAAACATGGCAGTATAGAGTTATTGTAATTTGTAGGGAAGTAGAAATATGATTCTTGGTAGGATTGATATCACCCATTATTTTCCAAGTAAAGAAAACATAGGCCCCCATCTCCTCCATAGCTCGACACGTCCTCATCCACCATCGTTGGCCCAGCAGCCACTCGCGAAAGGCTTTGAGTGACCTGCTGAACCGCCTGTGCCGCCGCGTTCGCCACCATCTGCTGCATCTCCTACCTCGTCATCACCACCTGCTGGCCGGGACGCTGTTCCTCCGTCGGCAGCGGTACCGCTCCTTGTACCGCCGCTCCTCGCTGCAGCGTCGCAGCCAGATCTGGTTGCGGCAGCGTTGGGGCCGCCGCGCCTTGAGCTGTGCGGGTCTCTTGGGCCCGATTTGAGCCCACATCAGCCTCTGGTTGCACCGACGTGACTTCTACACCTTGGGGAATAGGCGTCGGAGTCACCGGTGTACGTAAGGGTCCAGAGAAGCCCGGAGGTGGGCCTTCTCCGAACGGCCTTGTCATCGTCCACGCCTCATCGAACGATGCCTGTAAATCTCTCCTAGGAATTCCGTCCGCCATAGCTACCAAGCTTCAAAAATCTCAGCACACCACTTTTCGAACGAAAGGTCCCACAGACGGCGCCAAATGGTAACGCAAAACACTCCAACCGGCTTGAAATTGGTTTGCTTCCTTCTTTCTCGCCGATAGAACGCCGCGCTCCTGCACAAAAACTCTCACACCGGAGGGGTTTTCCGGTGAAGAGCCTCTGATGCTTAAGTCAGTATATGTTTGTTCAATTTTCCAAAGTAAAGAAGGGATAAATCGTAAACCCTAAAAAAAGACCCACTCCTCTATATATAGGAGTGAAATACCTGCCCTAGGAGCTGCCCGGATATTTTTGTGAGCTGACCTGCCCGCGCTGCCCGTCCGTACACACACAGTACGTGTATTGTCAGAAATGTCAGGGACGTCAGAGGTGGTTATCGCCACTATTACTCTGCACCACTAGGCTCTCGCCACGTGTCTCCTTTTGAGCTGAGGGGAAATATTCCTTTGCATGGGCCGTTGGGATCCCTGGATATTACCCACGCGCTTACTCACGTTCAGGTCACGCTCTCGACCGCCTCCTTCCTGCTACATGCTCGATATGATCGAGCTCCCCTACGCTAGGTCGATCCTCGACCAACCCTGCCATTCTGCTCGATCTCTTCTGCGTTGGTCGATCATCCTCCAACCCACGTGGTTTTCTCCCAACTTATGCTAGTTTGACCGACGTGATGGACCGGTCTGTTCTTCAGTCACATGATATCCCATATCACTTATAATTTCCTCTTCAATCGAAGGTCAAGTAAAATCTCAACAGCGTTTTCTGCAAATACGAGTTGTTAAACTGATCGCCACAAGCCCCGCCATTATTCTGTTGATTCCCAGCAAAAGTTGTTGAGGAAAAGCTCCAATCTTCAAAAACCCAAGGCCTTAGCCACCGAAAGATAGGTACTTTTGCTGCTGATTGTTCATGATTTTCCTTATTTTTCGTTTTTGTTCTTCTGTGGGGTACCTACAGTGAAATTATACCGCAATTTGATTGTGTCATCACCATCCATCTCCGATCAGAAGCCCTCACGTAATTTCTCGGTTTGGTTCTGCCATATATCCCGACCGAGACCTCAAATTTCTGTTTTTCGTGTTTTTTTTTTTTTTTTTTTGGTTTTCCGGCATCACAGTGGCACTTGGGTGTCCCTCTGGCATCGGTTGACCGCCTGTCACCATTGTGCTTTGCCTTGACGTGCGTTGGCAATTGTCTGGGTCGCTCCACTGTATGATCGAGCTCGCAGGTAATGTGTTTGTAAAAAGGTGTGTGTTTGTGTTGGACGAGTCTTTCCAGTTTTTTTTTTTTAGTTTATTATTTATTTTGTATTTATATTTTATTACTCATTAAATATATTTTTATATCTGCAAGAACACTCAACAATGTATGAGAAGGAATGTGTATTTTTCTGCATTTTCTTTTTTTGCTGGTTATTTCTGGCTTCTTTTGTTCTTCTGTTGGGGTATGTGGGGGTATGATGAAATTAATTATACTGAAATTTGCTCTACCTGATGGAGTAATGGGATTGGAAGTTTGGAACTCGATCGAGTTGGGCATTGAATGAAATAAGATTTGATTAGGTATTATTATTATCAAAATGCATATAAGTGATTTTATGCGTTTTTATGTGACTGCTTCTTACTACTGTCTCTTTATATAACTATGCAGAGTATTGATAAACTGATTGACCTATCCGCTGCAAACCTAGAGAAGAGTGATGATGTTATTGGCGTAACTTCTGGAAATGTGAGACCTCCTGGAAACATTCATGTTGAAATTTTATTTATGAAATGTTTACCTCAGAAACTAATTTGAATCAAATAGGATCTTGAGCACTGAATATGTTTTTGCAAAAATCTTATTCCTTGCTTACTACAAGAGTCCTATCTGCACTGAGTATATTTGCTTCCCCTCTCCTTAAATCAAGATGATATGAAGGCCTTAGTGTTAGTCAATATAAGTTAGCAATCAATTACCAATTTACCATTGTCCTGATATCCTTTCTTGCTTCCATTACTCTACTCTAAACAGACTACAAAGAACAACCTTGGTTTGGGTTCCAGTTCTAGCAGAACACAAGCACCAGCTATTCCTTTTTCTGAAAGGTATGGATAAAATTTGATTTGATGCGATAATTACAAAAAATTATCCTTAAAGGTTTAGTCTAACTACAACAACTCCGCTTATCTTTTCAGAACTACCAAAATCCCCAATTTTAGATTGTACGAAATTCTCATTGACATTTGTATTTTCGTAAGGTTTGATTCATAAAAGAGAAGCAAATGGCCAAGGGGATTCATAAAAGAGAAGCAAATGGCCAAGGGGTATTTGTAATATTGAAGGATCCATCGTACACATTTTAATTAGACCAAAATTCAGTGATAGTTTTTCGACTAATGGATTTAATGCTAGGTTGTCAGTCATATATATGTACTTTTACACTCTTCAGGCCAAACAATGGTATGAGCTGGGCAGATGAAGTTGAACTATCTGAGGCTGGAACAAAAACGAAAGATGTACAAAGAGAAGTTCTGGAGGCACTATATACCGGGCCCGAAAGGTTTGAAAAAAAAGTGTCCGCTCCTCCAGTTAGACCAATTCAGCGGTCATCAGCCCACGGTCAGGTTGTGACGAAACCACCAGACGAAAAAATGTATGAGGATTTTTCATACATTACAAGACAACTCAATAACAGTAGTAAGTATATTATTTTTTGGCTGCAAGGTTCACTTTATCCTTATGATGTCATTACATTTGTAGAAAATCTAAGGCTGCATTTGGATTTGATGGGAGGGTTTGTGGAAAATATTTTTAAATGACTCCATTTAAGATGAAGTTTAAATCAACCAACAATGGCTCCATTTAAGATTTCGAAGAACAGAATAATAGGAGATGGAAGATTTGAAATTCATGGATTTATGAGATTACCTCAATGTGCTTAACAGATTTAAAATCCATTAAATAAGTTTTATTACATTGTTCACTGTTGGTGCCAGACGTCATTCACTAGACTTCGCTATTCACTATTCATCTGTAATTATATAATATGTAGTATGTCCTGGATATTGGAAAAATACTCTCAGCGTTCTCATGTTGATTTTGCCTTGATAAATGCTCTATTACCTAATTACTTATCTTCACGATTATGCCCTCTCTTCACGAGCATCAGCTATGGCTTTCCCGAGACAATTTTTGTGCTCTATTGCATTCTTTATCAGTGAACTACTAACTCAAATGGATTATCAAATACATTTAGTTTTAGGCGTTCACACATGAGTTTTATCTATTTTTCCCTTTCTTTCTTCATGTATTGATACAACAATCCCTTTGCAGATTAACCTTTGTGAATCCTTACGATTCGTAATTTTGGTTGTTAAAAAGGCTACCAGTTTCACTATGAATGCCACAAATAGTTCACTATCTTCTGGAGAAACATCTTATGCAGATATCAAGTCTTTCTTTGATTCAGCCCCTCCTTTTTAAGGATTCCGCTGAAATAAAAAGAAAATAGAAAGAACTTATGCAAAAGAATCACGCGCCATTAGGTAAGCCTCGTGCCCTAATTTTGCCACTGCAAGTTTGGATTTGTTTATTGTTTCTATCTTTGGGGAATGGAGAGGCTAATAGAGTTGTGTGCGTGACATCTGGCGGCACAACTGTTCCTTTGGAACAAAGATGTGTTCGGTACATTGACAACGTCAGCTCGAGTCATAGAGGGGCTGCATCCACAGAGTACACAACGTTATAATTTTGTTCTGTTGGATTGTTTTCATGCTTTTATATTACTTTTTTTTTCTCACATTGAAGTTAACTTATGAAATCACAGATATTTTCTGGAGGCTGGTTACGCTGTAGTATTTCTTATAATTTCCTCTTTAATCGAAGGTCAAGTTAAAATACTCGACATGGGATATGATATTTTTAAGGAGAGATTAGAAACAATATTATATTTTGTTGAATATAACTTTAAGTATTAAGAATATTTTTTCGTTCTTTTTTTTTTTATGTATAGTTCGTTAGGAAAATTTGGACTATTGCCTTTGTAGGTGCACATTGTTAGAGTGCATGGCTCGGATGTCGTTGGTGCAGCTCTTTGCCTTATGGAATTAGATGCTTTTAAAAGAAGGGCAAATAATGGTTAGTGTTTGGTTTTTCTTTCCTTTGAAAATTACCATTTTGTCTTTTGTTTTTTTTATTTTGTACCGTGACGTTTGAACAACTATGGATCGAGATTTGATCTCTTACATTTGTGTTTTGCTCTCACATGGAAACATTTATGAAGATCTTGAGAAGAAAGATAAAATATAGCGTAAAAGAACAACAAAGTACGTCGAGCCTTTCTTGCCCAATCTCTCCACACCATTGTGCAATTGATGATAAATCTAATTTGTTTTTACTGTAAGTAAAAATAATTTTCTTCAAATCTTCATGTGCCAACCTGCACAGTAATGTAAAAATATTGCATTTACACGCAATTTCAACATCCAATAAATTAAACACATTCAAAAAGCATGCATCCATCTATAAATAAGTATAAACAGCTTATGTGCATGATCTAATAGATGTGATTTTTATTCTAACAATTAAATATATTATTAATAAGTAATAAGGCTTATAAAAAATATATTCAAAATATTCTTTTCATTTAATATTCTATGTAGAATCAAATTGTAAATATGCTAATTAGAAAATGTTATTATGAGTTATAAAAATCAATTGGTTTCCTACTGGACGTAATTTTTATAAAATATGTTATATATTTACTTAAATCGTGTGGAAAATAAAATCGCAAATCTGTTGCCAACTATAGTCAAAGCTAATCTATTCGATATAAAAAATGTGAATTGTTTTTCAAAATTTATGAGGTAATGGAGAGAATACAGAAGTGGGTTATGAGCAAACCCTAAAAAATTGAATAAATTCGTATTTTATAGATTCCAAAAATTATTCCACCGTTCCATTCGCATTATAAAGAGTTGTAATTAGTTAATTATTTAACTTATATTAGTAATAAATAATATCAAATTGTTGAGTTATGATTTAATATTATTTAACATCACCCTATCATTAATAAAAACTTATATGTGTGTAGATTATCTAATTTCCAGAACATGGACTATTCTATGGAATTGTGCAATGAGACACAATTAGATATGACCAAACTCTCCACTCATGTGCTCGAATGCAATATATTGATAGGAGATCAAGCTGACAAGAAGGTGTTGATTCTTAGAAAGAATATAACTCCTTCCGATCTTAGGGTTGCATTTAAGTTCCACCGGCGACAGTTTTCACTTATGGTTTCGTATGCCATGACCATAAACAAGAGTCACTGTCGCGCATTTTCATGTTTTTGAAGAAACCTGTTTTTAGTCACGACCAATTATGTTGTTCCGCGTGTAACTAATAAAAATGGCTTAAAATATTAGTCTATTGGAACGACGTATACAATGATGTATTTAATAATATATATTTTTGGTGATGAACATTTTATAATTGAACAATTTCCATACGTATTATAACACTTTATCTATTAATACACTTTAACTTATAATATTCCCTAAATAAATACAGCCCGTGCATCGCACGGGTTACGTAATAGTATACAGAACCAAAACACATAAACAAAACCCAAAATAACCAAGCAATTTTCCTTACATATCTCAGAAAAAAAAAACCAAATTAAAAACGAATCAAATGCCATTAGATTACAAAAAAGCACTCGATCCTCACACCTTCACAACCAAAGGCAAATTCAGAAAATAAAAACAGAACTACATTACTAATCTGTGTGTAATTATTAAGGACAGAGAGAGTGAGAGATTCAGTGCGAAAGACATAAATTAGAGACGACGGAGGTCAGAGGATCGACGAGCGAGCGTTGGATGCCGGAGATTGAGGAGGCAAATAGAAGCTGACGGCGGGCCGGCGAGAGACGGAGTGAATGGTGAGAGAGACGAGAGCATCTGAAAAACTAGGTCAAGGAGCATATAATTTTTTAATTGTAATGTAAAAAATATATATATATATATATATAAATCGTGGTAGCTGTGGCCAGGTAAGAGAAAATGACACTTTTAGGCTTAAAATGACACTTTTAAGGCTTAAGTCATTATTCGGTACGGTTCGGTTAAAACCACACCATTCGAACATAAAACCGAGCCGCACCGAAATTTTTTCGGTTTTTCAATTTCTTAACCGCACCGCAAACCGACCTGTCCAGAACCCGAACCGAACCGCATCGAATACATCGGTTCGGTTCGGTTTTTCGGTTTCGACTCGGTTTTGCTCAGCCCTAGATATGGTAAACAATCACATGATATTATTAATTGATAAATAATCGGATAATATTTTGGTAAACAATCAGATATTGTTAATTGTTAATTAGTAAACAAATTTTCACGTGATAGATTTATATGTGGCTAAATTTTAGGAATACGTGTATTTTGTATCCATAATTATCTAACCTATATTCCTAACGGTACACAAAAATTGTGGACAATTAAAAGGAACTTGTGATACAAAATATCTCTAATCTATGACTAAGTCCACCGATCAAAATCAGATATGATCTCTCCAAAATAATTATCGGTGAAGAATTGGGCTCCATCCTCCACATGAGGAGATGGACACGTCGGAGCTCCACCGGGTTTTCTCCATGATCACGAGTAACTGAAACAGCGGAATATCGCGTTCCTGCTCGACGGATCAGAAAGGATCAAGTCTCGGTTAGCAAACGATGGGAACACGACAAATCCTAATGGAAGACAAGCTTCAGGCAAACAAAATGAAATTGAATTTCATTGATTTATTCTTTTTTGGATTTTTTTTCCAGGTTAATTTTTTCATAGATTTTCGTTCTTTTGATTTATTGATTTTTAATTTTTATTGGATTCTAACAAATATACATAAAAGATGTGTGTTTGTGTTTTATAACAAAGCAAAAAGGAAAAAAAAAAACAAATTAAATTTTACGTTGGTACCAAAAACAGAGGTATGTGTTTGTCGAATCGACCTAGACGACTACATGAGGGTCAACTTCAACAAGTTCCGACAAATGATGAAGTACGGCGGGTTCGCGCCACTGGGATGACTTGGGTGCATCAGTTCATCTTCCCTTTTTATTATACTATTATCATTATTAAACGTTATGTTTTAATGTGGAAATTGCAATTGCTATAATTAATCGATTTTGATTCTTGCCTCATATGTAAAAGAAACAATTACACATAACTAGAGGTGTGGTGACGCGCGGGGTGCCGATGATCGGGTGGCCGATCTATGCGGAGCAGTGGATGGATAAGGTGTTCATGGTCAAGGAGATGGGGATGGTGCTGCCGCTGGAGGACTCGTGCATATAGATTTGAAGAAAATCGTTTCATTCGCCATTGCCAAGTGCCAATAGAGCTCCTCTACTATCTTACTGTTATTATCATTTTCAGAAAATATTTGTTTACGTATATTTTGTTGGGTTCAATTTTTATTCTTCTTTATTTTGATTTTGGGTGTTATCGTGGAGGATGAAGGAATTGAAGGAGCAAGAGATAGCCTTTAAAGTCTGGATTCTTTCCATTATTTTTTGTACGTTAATAATCCTATATTGGATAATTGATTTTTTTTTTAAAAAAATAAAATGAAAACCGTAAGATTTAATAATATTCCTTAAATAAAAAATATTGTATAAAGAGAAGTGTTTAATAATATATATTTTTCATTGTTTGTTATTTATTTTATTTTCATAATAGACGAGGTGTGAAAAATATAAATAATTATATTTAAAATAAAGTTTAAAAAAGGTTTAAAATATGAGCTCCTCCGTGCATCGCACGGGATATACACTAGTTTAGCAGTAAAAACGGAACAAAAAAAAAAAAGCAATTGATATTTTTTTGAAAAATGATATATAGTCTACCTAATGTTGACAACACGGAAACATCCACTCGTGTATTTTTTTATTTTTATTTTTGTACATGTTTATTACTTGTGTTGTCAACCTAATTGTACACTTGGCAATGTAACATTTCTCTTTTTTTAGGGACTTGTGGCAGTAATTAGAAAATGAGTGCCAATACAAGCAATGTTTTAAAGTACCGTACCGGCCGATAATACTGGTAATACTGGATACCGGTCATTGGTACGGTACAATTACACATAAAATGCCGGACTTATTGTTATATCGGTTTGTATTGTGATCATACCGTAAATACCGATCCAAAATACCGGCCTATAAAATAAATAATTAAAAAAATAAATTTATAAATTTAAAAACACGAAATTTAAATTGGTTTATAATATTTTATTTTTATCTCAATTGAAAAGTAAAAATTAATGATTATGGTCATATTATTTTTTACTTTTTTTTGCATTTGGTATATATATTTTTTTGTATATTTATATATATCATTATATTTGCTAGTTCAGTAATACCACTGATATTACCGGTCTGGCCGGTCATACTGCGTACCTCTGGCTAGACCGGTATTTTAACGCCCCGTTATTTTTATAAGAAAAATCCATATTTCCACAAAAATCAGAGTTAAATTGTTCAATGCCATTTTTCAATTAAAAATTAATTAACGGGCGCTACTCAACCAACTCATACATAATCATACATCTTAAGCCCTGGTGAAAAGTCCATCCCACGATCGCACAATCAAACATGATTAAACGAGACATAACATTTCATACTCATTAATAAGTCTCGAACCATAACAATTCCAATCCATCAGCAAATGCAAGTTTCTAATACCAGTCATACAAGTTTTGGCAAAACATAATAATAAATAAAAGCAGAAGCAAATAAACAGTTCATAATAACAATAACAATGACTCCACTCGCCCGTCCTTTGCCACGACCAGCTCAACCTGAAAGTGGAAAAATAATGGGGGTGAGCAAACCAACTAACTCTCCCTGGAAATACCACGCAGTCTATTCAGTATAATGACTTAAAATCATAATCGCAGGATGAACACAAATCATCTAGTCTACCCCCTATACGTCCCTAGTACTATCTCATGTGTACACACAGCTCCTGAAGGCAAAGCCCTCTTCAGGAACTTACCACTGGAAAATCCCATCAGTGGGAGCAATACTCAATGGCTATTAATAGGAGAACGTCGACACAACATCAACGGAGAACACTCTCATAGACTAATGGTTCACATTCATACATTGATTATCAAACTAAGCAATTAAAAGAATAACAAGCATGGTAGGCTTATCAACACCCACCTAATCGACAAGGCAGGATTAAGCACACAAATAGCTCGGTAGGTCGGTGAGGCTCGAGTCCTCAAAAACCTACATTTAAATGAGATAATATACCAATAATCTATCTCACTACTCGAAAATAATTTAAAACTCACACTTCATCAAAATTAAGGATTAAGGATTTTTATCGGATTTTTCGTGGACTTGGAACTTGTTTGTCCCATTTTTGTTGCGTTTTTCGTTGTCATTTTGCCTTTCTTTTTTCCCCATATTAGGTCTTTTAGTTGGTTTTTAGTTCGTTTTGTAGTTTATTGTACGTCTTGTTCTAGTTTGGCTTTTTATGTGTTTTTCGTGTATTTTGTCGGTTTTTTACGTTTTTCTTCTTGTTTTTAGTGTGCAAGTAGCAAGCCCCATGAGGAATCTATTTAGCTCAAAAATATACTGGGAAATCATGGTTGGATAGATGAGTTCGTTGGCGATATATAGGAAAAAGAGGAATTCAATTTCGAGTTTGTACGAGTCCGGACGAGCCTGATATGTGAAGTCGCGCACGGAAGCCGCCAACTTCAAGTCAAAAGCTTTGGGAAAATATGTTTTCAAGAATAAATTGAATTGAAAGCACCATTGCGTAGAGGGCTTCATTGGCAACACATAGAAAAAAACAGAACTCAATTGCGAGTTCGGACGAGCCCAAACGAGCCCGAGACGTGAAGAAGTGCGAGCTGCCCAGGCCCCGCGCGCCCCTTTCCGCAAGTGTACGAAGTAGCTATAGGTAGTGGCGAGCAAGGTCGTATTCCACAGAGATTGTAGTTAAATTAATTAAGTACTAAAATAGTGACAATTAAATATTATTTAGACTAACAAACTGGGATGATGATTATAAACTAAGAGATTAAACTAAAAGCTAATTTACCTAAAGTAATAGAAATAAATCACGATATAAAAGATAGATTCTAGGCTAAGCGTTCCTCGGAATTAATTCATGAAACGTTTATATTCAAACAAACCTTATTTAATTTTATCAATCGTAGAGATAATCGCTAAATTGATTTCAAACCTTTCTCTCGAACAAGTTAAATCGTAGTTAATAATAGGCATTTTCATTATGGTAGGCTTTAAACTTAAAAGAAGATAAGTTAAGTAATTTGAGTGCTATAAGTCTGCTATATAGCAGGCTGGTTTATATTAATTGTTATCTATCTCCTCTCGGTCTCAAGATGAACGACTAACTCTTATAAGTTCCTAGGATTTTCATTCTCTCGCAAGGTCCTATCAACCTCTCGGTCTGTTTATTCTCTTACGTTATAAATTTCTCAATTCTAGCAATCAATTATCTCCTCTCGGTCTCAAATCAATTACAAATATGCATTCATAGCAGCCGTCTATTCACACAATAATAATAAGCACAAAAAATTGATAAACGAAAGATACTGGAATGAAATAAATAAAAACTAAATCATCAATCAATCCGAGTACTACAAATCCTAGAATCTAATATAAATCTAGCCTAGAAACATGATTTCAAAATAAGAAAAAAGAAGAAAAGAAAAAGAAAGAAAAAGCTTATTCGGCTCCGTCAATCTTCTCTTCCCAGGTTTCTCCCTCGTCTTGCTCGTGTTTCTAGCCTCCAAAGGTCTCCAAAATATGTCCAAGACTCCTAAAAAACGTGTCCAAGGGTTGTATATATAGTCGGGGTCGAGTCCTAGTCGAAATAGGTCGAAAATACTGAAAAAATAGGAAAAACGCGTCAAACCCGTCCAAGTCGCGCCCAGGGTCACA